TGTTTCTTTCTCCCTTGTTCTCTCTTCGGAAACGTTCCAGGTCGATAATATTTGAGAGAACCGACGATCCTGACGAATTTCCGCTTCGAGGAAACCATCACTATGGTGTAAACTCAATTAAGCTTGAATTCTAAGTTGGGCTTGCTCGGATACGATTGCCGGATATCCGTTTTGGCCGATGGCGTTGCGATATAATCAAGTTATTCTTGAAAAAAAAAATAATGTTCGTTGTCGGAAATTTGCTTTTGAAAGTTTGTCTGGATATATAAAAGAATAGATATATGTACACAGACGCATATACATATACAGATATATATATATATATATATATATATATATATATATATATATATATATAGCATTGGTATTTTGTTAATAAATTTTAGTGAAAATTCTTTTTCTCTCTTTCTCTCTCTCTCTCTCTTTTTTTCTCTGTCCGTCTGTCTGTCTCTATCTAACATAGATGACAATTTAATAGTGTTCTCATACTGATGTGAATTAAGTTAGATCGAAGCATCAGTTTGAGAAATAGCTTTTCCAATTAAAGTCCACGTATGTTTGTATAATGAACTGCCAATCTGTTCGTGAAGAGAGCATATATATATATATATATATATATATATATACATATATATATATTTGCTCTCTTATATATATATATATATCTACTTGCACCTTATCACTTTATACATTAAAGGTAGATATTTTCTTTCTTTTTTTGTTTCGCAATTTACACATCCCTTTTTTTGGTCGATTTTTTCTTATTCATACGAATAAAGAAATTATTATCTTCCATTTCGAAATAAAAAATGTAGTTGTAGTTGAGATGAATAATAAAATTTCGAAATAGAAAATGTTCTAGTGAGATGGATAATAAAATATGGCTGATATTGCCAATATACACATGCGGGATATATACTAGGTTTGTAAATGCGAACAGGAAAAGGAAAATAAATCTGAGAAAAGCTAGTTTCATACTTTTACAAGTATTCTTCGTCAACGTTCTTTGATATATACATATATATCTTTCTATACGTTTCTATTTTCTTTAAAATAGATGAAAAATATCTTTTTATATAGATATTATGTATATCCAGCGGATTTTCTTATCGCGAAATCTTGAAATGCATGTTACTTACACAATCGGTCAACATTTTCAACGTAAGGATCATGAAAAAGACGATCCTTTTATAACCTTTCACATTGGATTCACTAGCATAGAGAGCAAAAGCAAACGAGAGAGATAGATAGATAGATAGATAAAATGAGAGAGGGAGAAAGAGAGAGAGAGAGAGAGAAAGAGAAAGAGAGAGAGAGAGAGAGAGAGATTGAGAATAATGTATAGTGGTTTTCGTCGTTCGATATTCCTTCTTCGTTTTAGATATGACCGGGAAATGGCTTTTCCGGCTGACGAGATACGGTACGAACAATATTCTCCGTCAATCTCCTTTGCCAACGATTGCGGAAGGCGTTCGCCTTGTGATGACTTGGAACAATGAGCTGGAACGGTTATTTCGTCGAGAACAGTCAAATATTCATGGATAAATGAGAGAAAAAGAGAACAACGATCTCATTTATCAAATATTTTTGGCCGATATACGTAATATTTATTCATATCATTTTCAATGATTTATTTCATGCAGATGATTAACGTTTCGATGATTCTTAAGAAATGGGATTATATTTTTCGTCGATAGAAATCTTTCTTTTTTCTTTACTTTTTTTTTTCTTTTTTTTTTCTTTTTCCTTTAATCTTCTCAATCACTCGTATTGTATCGTATTAAAAAGAAAGAGAGAGAGAGAGAGAGAGAGAGAGAGAGAGAGAGAGAGAGGAAAGGGTGTGTATTTAAAAGAAGAACAAAGAAGTTGAAGAGACAAAGTAATTTTCTCACCTACTATCCGGAAATTTCCAGCAGAAACACGTGGCCGAACTATAAATTATGCTGTCAGGAAGTAGGTGCTTCGGTTAAGACGAGAAATCGATTCCGTTCATCGGTCATTCGCTAGTGTGTCGTTTTTTGAAACATATAATAATGTCTCTTACGAGTTGATTGTTTTTTTTTTTTTTTCTTTTGAATAAACTATCAACAAAATGGACAAATCGTAGATTACATTGAAACATATGTGAAAATACAAATATATCAAATGTATATATTGGTATTGTTATTTCGTAGAAAGAAAGAAATAATTTCTTCTATATAATTTTGTTTCGTTTCAATAGTTCTTAATTTTAATGTTTATTGAAAATTGTAAATCGTGTACATAAATCGTTCGATTATATTGTTTAATGTTCTGTAAATTATTTTATTATATTTGATATTAGATTTTAAGAGGGATGGAAGAAAATCATACGGAAATTTTGAAATACGCTAAGCTGAATTGGTAGGTAGGTAGGTAGGTAGGTAGGTAGGTAGGTAGGTAGGTAGGTAGGTAGGTAGGTAGGTAGGTAGGTAGGTAGGTAGGTAGGTAGGTAGGTAGGTAGGTAGGTAGGTAGGTAGGTAGGTAGGTAGGTAGGTAGGTAGGTAGGTAGGTAGGTAGGTAGGTAGGTAGGTAGGTAGGTAGGTAGGTAGGTAGGTAGATTGTTTATCGGCTAGTACGTAAAATAGAAACGCTACAGGGATTACGAACGATCGTTTCATTGATGAAGTACTTCGTCCAATTATCGGAAGGTAGGAAAGTAAACGCGTGTCTTTTTTTCTTTTTTTTCTTTCTTTTTTTTTTCTTTTTTTTTTCTTTTTTTTCTTTTTTTTTTTTTTTTCAATAGGTCACAGGTAACTGTCAGGCAAGATGAAACATCGCATTTGCCAAACGAGGCTATCCTTATTTGCTCGATGTGTTCAGTCGGTAAAAAACGATTCGATATTTCGATGTTCTTTTTCTACTTTACTCCTACTTCCTATTCCTTATCCTTTTCTCATAACCTTACCTTCGTGAATTTAAAGATAAAGAAAATTTCCAACTTTTCTCTCTCTTTCTCTTTCTTTCTCTCTCTTTCTCTCTCTGTCTTTCTTTTTTTCTTTCCGAAGACGTTAAAGGAAAACGTAGATACTTGCGAGGAATTTTTCATGATTTTTCTTTTCCATTGTTAAGACATTTGTCACGCGAATGATGGATTTTTTTTTGTTTTTGAGCGAAAAACTTGAAAAAAGAAAAATAAAAAGGAAGCGAGTAAAACGCGAATACTTACAAAGAAACTTTCTTCGAATTTTATCTTTCACACTTTTTGAAATCTATTTACCTTGTCCTCTCTCTCTCTCTCTCACTCTCTCTCTCTCTCTCTCTCTCTGCCCCCCTCTCTTTTCTTTCTTCTTATCATTTATCTCTCTCCCTCCCATTATCATAGACATTTTTCAGGAATTAGAATATAGTCTTGATTTAGACTTTTTGATTTTCCTTTTTCAATGTTCAAATTCCTGATAATACGCTTCGCGTACATGTACCTAACATGTCATAGAAGTAACACAAAAAGATAAAATTAATAGTAAAACGAAAAACTTGTATTTTTTTAACAGTGATAAATTACAATTTGAAATACATGGTAGAAGGTAGATGGTTCTTGTATTTTTGTATTTATGAATGAATGAATGAGCGTGTGGTATGTGAGCGAGTGTGTGTGTGTGTGTGTGTGTATGTGTGTTTGTGTAATGAATAAGATCGAGATGCAAGGTAGAATAAGGTCCGATGATAATTGGAACGAAACAACGCAGTCTAGCGATGCCTCTAAGCTTCGTTACGCGTTACATTAATTGAGATTTATAGTTCCCTTTAGTACTCGTACTTTATGTATAATGTATATATATATATATACACACACACACACACGCACACACGCACACACACATATATATATGTGTATATATATAAGAGGAGTATTAGAATTTATGAAAGTTACTCGTATTTTTTTTCTGCAATAAAATTGAAACGTCGACATAATTTTCATTAACGTCTATGTCGGATATTATCAACGAAATGAAAGATTAATGTTATCGATTATAGTTAAGTACTAACTCGTCGACGATAGTTCCGTGACTTTGGCACGTTATAAGCGAAACGATAAAGAATTAATGAGAAAAGTAATTAAGATTTCCATCGAGAGACGATGTCGAACGACGTACGATGAATGTATCGTTATGAATCTTCTACAAGAGATAGATAGATAGATAGAGATAGATAGAGAGATAGATAGATAGATAGATAGATAGATATATATATATAGAGAGAAAGAGAGAGAGAGAGGAGAGAAAGTTATGTCATTTAAATTGGACAAACCTACATATACATACGCGATGAAAGAGAAATAGAAATAAGATGAATAGATCATAGTGAAGGTTATATTTTCTCGTCATAAATGATTCCCCGTAGGAAAGCAAGGAAACGCGTAAGAAAAAGTATTATTCCGAGTACAAAGACTTTTCATAAAATTGTATACAAGCGTTAGTTGAGGGTTCTCCCTTTTTATCATTCCGGAGGATTTCCTTCCTATTCTGAAACAAAGTAATAAAAGGGTTTCTCGAAAGCTTCACCAAAACGATACGATTCCGACTTTGATCGCAAAAATGTCGATTTAATCGTTTCCGTTCGATCAATGAGAGTTATTCTTTTTCTTTCTCTATCTCCCTCTCTCTCCCTCCCCTCCATCTCCACTTCCTCTCACTCTATCTCTCTCTTTCTCTCTGAATGTCCTAAGAGAAGGATTTTTAAAACGTTTTTAAAGAAAAGCTCGTATGCAAATCCGTTAGATCAAAGGACTTCTAAATGCAATTACAATGGCAGTCGAGAAGAACACGAACCTATTGCAAGGACGTCACCGGTATGTTAGAATCGTTGTGGTGTACGACACGCTTTGTTCCAGAGGCCTCTGTAGGTTTATTCGCGGAGAGAGTGTCGGCTGCAGCAGGCGGACAGCAAAATAAACGAACGAGTACTTCAGGATCGTAGACTCGTGAATTTTCATTGTCCATACTCTCATTTAATAAGATCAGGGAATATTTTATAATAAATTGTCTTTGAATCTGTTGATATTATTATTATTATTATTATTATTATTATTATTATTATTATTATTGTTGTTGTTGTTGTTGTTATTGTTGTGGTTATTATCGTTGTTACTATACATTATTATTTATTTGATTTCAACAACACGATACAAAGCAATAGACTGTATATTGAATAAAAGAAAAAAAGAAAATAAAAAGTATATTATTCAGATATTATAATAATAAAATATTGCCAATATGCATTGTATTTAATAGCGTATGGAATCACAGATCTCATTATCAATTGAATTACCATCTTTCGGTCGATGTTCATTTCGTTAGATCAACTCGTTAGATGTTACTCGTTCCAATTAACATTTGAAATCTCATTAACAAAAATTAAACAAATACATTGCGTTGTGGCATATTATATATATATATATATATATATATATATATATATATCCGTTTTTTAACTTTTCTGTTTTATATTTCTCAAAATTATATGCTTATATTTGATAGAATAATGAGAATTATTTTGTTTCGTAACATCCGGTTACGGAAACGAACTGCGAATTTATCCTTTCGTTATCCTTTCTGCCGTATCCGACATTTATTTAATATGACTGCTTTTTGCATCGTGATATAAATAATTTCTAAAGGATATAAGATTCTCAAGCCATAGAAAAGATATTTTAGTATTATATTGTATTAGGGAATACAAATGGTGCAATATTATTATTATTATTATTATTATTATTATTATTGTTATTATTATTATTATCATTATCATCATCATCGTCATCGTTATTATCATTATTATTGTTTTAAGGGAAAGAGATTGTTAGGAGAATAGTTTCTCTTGTCTTTCTTATGGTCATCTTCTCGTCCCTTTGTCAAAACTTGTCACTTAAACGATTAGTTAACGGAGAGTTTCAAACCATCAGATATATACTGAGATTAAATTGAACTTTGCCATTATAACTTACATTTCCCAGTGATATGTATCCAAGTACAATACGAACTTTATGATCCGTGATAAGGGTAATATAAATTAATTGATTGACGATATCAAGAAAATAAGTCTAATTTGTAAAAGAGTTTATAAAATTGTCTTTAATTTTCGATCTGCTTTTTGTTGTTATCTTTAATGGCGTGGCCCTCGAAGGGATTTCCTTCGGATTCATCCTCCCTCTCTCTCTCTCTCTCTCTCTCTTTTCTTTCTCTCTCTTTTCATTGCTTTGTCTAAGGGGAAAGCCAGTAGAACTAATTTCACCGTTCGACTCGTTATTAGATTTTCTATGGCAAGTGTACACGAACCAAAGGTGGTCCGAAGCAAAGGAAAGGGTAGAATGGGAAAAGCAACAGGGTAGTATGTAGTATGGAGTTAAAAAGAGAGAAACACGAAGGAAAAATGTCAAGAGAGAACAAGAGAGAGAGAGAGAGAGAGAGAGAGAGTGAGAGAGAGAGAGAAGTAAAGAGAGAAGAGGAACGTTGGGGATTGGTTTTTCTTAACTTACTCAGAGTGTTGACCAAGATTAAAAAAAGATAGAGAAGGCTTGAATGCGCGCGAAAGTAAGGAAAAAAGAGTGTTCGTGTGTGTGTGTGTGTGTGTGAGAGAGAGAGAGAGAAGAAAATGGAGGAATAAAGAGAACGACAGATAGAGAGAGAGAGATAGAGAGAGAGAGATAGATAGAGAGAGATAGATAGAGTGAGATAGATAGAGAGAGAGAGAGAAGAAAATGAAGGAATAAAGAGAACGATAGGTAGAGAGAGAGGGAGAGAGATAGATAGAGTGAGATAGAGTGAGATAGAGAGAGAGAGAAAGGGAGAGAGAGGGAGAGAGATAGATAGAGTGAGATAGAGAGAGAGAGAAAGGGAGAGAGAGGGAGAGAGATAGATAGAGTGCGATAGAGAGAGAGAGAAAGGGAGAGAGAGGGAGAGAGAGAGAGAGATAGCAAGCTGGGGTTGTCGAGTAACGTAGAGGGCGGGGTAAAAGGTCTCTGGGGTGCCTAGCAACAGGTTGCTATCCTAAAATTTCGACCGGCAGAGAGATGAAAGGAGGCAATGAGATAGATAGATAGATAGATAAATAGATAAATAGATAGATTGAGAGAGGGTGGGAGAAGGGTGGATGATGGGAAAGCATCGAATGGTGTATATAGACTATGTACCTCCTAAACGCCTACATAAACGGTACCGATACACCCTTGTCGTTCGATTTCTCATTATCCTACCAAAAGCCTTTCCGGATCGAAGTGACCAAAGAAAGAGAGATAGATAGATAGATAGATAGAGAGAGAGAGAAAGAGAGAGAAAGAGAGAGAGAGGGAGAGGAGGAGAGAAGCAATGAACCGACGTCTCTCCTCTTATCACGTGTTCCATTCGAGTTATCTTGATGAGAAAAAGAGACAGAGAGAAAATGATGATATCCTTTGAGATACTTACCTACCTTATTCTTAATCATGGTAGTTGTACAAAATGAATGAACGGATCACGTGTATCCTATTAAACAATGTTCCCTTTATATCCAACAATGATACAGACTATTTCATTTCGATCGATTCAAACTATAAATTGAATAATTTTCTTTTACATCGATAACATACATTTTTTTCTTTCATTCACGCGAGTGAACGTATTTATTTATCTTTTATATTTACTTCTTTTTTTTTTTTTCTTTTTTTCTTTCTTTCTTTCTCTCTTTCGTTCTGTTTCGTTCTGTTCTTTTATCTCGCTTCAATTCGACCGATTGCAGTTATGCATTTAACAATCTTTAATTGCATATATACATTTGAAGTTTTTACTTTGAATTTTCTACAATCGAGTGTAAATTTAACGCTTTAAACGAACTGCTATTTACGTGTACGCTCGTATATTTTCTTTTTATTTGTATTTGAATTTGAATTTTTCTTTTCGTCTTTCTTTTTTCTTTTTTCTTTTCTTTTTCCTTTTCTTTTTTTTTTTTTTTTTTTTTTTTTTTCTTTTTCTTTTCTTTACAATAATTTTATCCGACTTCTATTCATCGTACAAAGTTTTGCATTGTTATCTCGTAACACGAAGCATTTCATATCGTTATAACCGTATATATGTGCCCGTAATTATCTATTGTGGTATAAATAATAATACTAATAAACTTCACTTTATATTTTCGTAGGCATGATCAGAAATTGAGTTATAATCTAAAGTTAATTTCAATACTTCGTAATAACAGCAATATACATTGTTATATTATATTGTAACATATTTAACAAAATTAAATATCCTCATCGATAATATCTACATGAGTCACGATAAATAAATAAATACACATTAATAAAGATATTCGAAAGCTTCGCTTTTACTTGTTTCTTCTTTTTCGCTTTTTCGCTTTTACTTGTTTTTTTTTCCTTTCTTTTTTTTTCGCATAGATTACCTGTCTCGTTTTATTATTTTAACATCGCTTGTATAGAATATCTTAATTGTATCCTCATATATTTCATAGTATCAAATTTCCTATAAAGGATTTACCGATGAGGATAGCATCTCCTACTAACATTTGTTGCTTCCTGCATGCGCATATCTACATACATACATACATACATACATTTATACATACATACACGTTTCAATACACATACACGTTGTATATGTACATATGCATGCACATTGACACGCATATGATATATAACGTTATATATATATATATATATATATATATATATATATGTATACATACATAGACATACACATAATCTACTTAACGTCATCTAATTCCGCATTATATCCGGCTGTGTGAACGGTGCTCAATTACGCGCGTAATGGATTGTAATTCATTTTGATCGTACCGATGGACAACGACGAGCTGATAATAATTCGCGTATGTGTGTAAGTAACACGAATTGTTGGAATTGTCCCGCCATATACAGAAATCATACCGACGAATGAATTTTCTCGATCAGCTACCGCGAATTTGGTTTACGGGATATCAATTGGCGAAGTGAAAATTACCTCTCTTCACCCACGCCACCAGACACTTTCCCCAACTCGTCTTCCTCTCTTCCTACTCGTTCCCTAACTCTTATCACCCTTACCCCATTACCCCTCGCCCTTCTCCTTCTCGACGATTAATCTCCTTCTCCCTCTGTCTCCCTGTGTAAACGTTTAGAATGGCTATTTTGTATGCCAGGAACGAGGGACAAACCGGAAAGCTATCGCCATTTGTAAAATCGAACGAATTGATAGACAGACAGAGAGAAACAGAGAGAGGAGAGAGAGAGAGATGAGAGACAGAGAGAGAGAGACAGAGAGAGAGAGAGAGAGAGAGAGAGAGAGAGAGCGATAGTACTATCTTTCTTCAATTGTAAACGATTGAAAACGATTTTCATTAGCGATTCGACATACGAATGGAAAACAGATTGTAATTGAATATACGACAGATATTTATGTAGTAGTACAAATGTATGTTTGTAAATACATCTGTAATCTATGTATCTATATATCTATATGAATTCTAGTTTATCGTGATATGATTCCTTAATTATCACGCTTTGTAGTACGATGTCAGGAAGTGTACGAGTCCTATACTCTCTCTCTCTCTCTCTCTCTCTCTTTCTCTCTCTGTCTCTCTCTCTCTCTCTCTCTCTCTGTTCTACAAATATAAACAAACACACGTGTTAATTGGTTAAGCTAGCACAAGTGTTTACCATCATGGGAGGTGTTATTTAGCGAGAATGACAATACTTGTTTATAGTAAGTTTTTAAGTAGTTAAGTAATTTTTTCCTCTTTCTTTTCTTTTTTTACTTTTTTTTTTTGACGAAGACACGTATTTATTATTAAAAATGTTTACGTATATGCAACATTACGTTAGAGACGTATAAATAAGTTCGCGAAATATTGTTTCAAAATTAGTGTTATAGAGATTTCAATTGTCATGGTGTTGCAACGTAGAGAGAAAAGAAAGAAAGAAAAAAGAAAAAAACAATTGTACGATATTTCGTAGAGCGGATCGATATGGTTCGATGCAATTATTTCGATCTTATTAAATTTCGTAGATAGAATTAATGAAAGACATTTTAATAGATTTAAACGTTTCTTTTACGTCTCGAATCGATACGAGAGTTCCATTTTTCTTTTACTTTCTTTTTTCCCTTTTTCAATCTCTCGATATTATTTGTATGAAAAAAAAAAAAAGAAAAAAGAAAAAGAAAAAGAATAAATAAAAGATAAGAAAAGAAACTGTATTAAATATATAACTGTATAAAATATATATATATATATATATATATATATATATATATATATAACATTTTTCAATATAAATTGATACATCTTCGTATCAATTTTATCGTCTACAACGGTTTATCGTTTCACGGTTTTAGTTTTAACTCCTTTTTAACGAGAAAACAGGGACAAAGGATCCTATGGTCGTTTGTTCCATGAAGTCCACGGTGAAACTTAATAAGGACAAATAGCGAAGTTTCCACTTGTGCGAAACTGTATATATATATATGTATGTATAATACGTGTATTCAAGGGAATAAATAGGGAACGCTTTAATGTTACTGCTTTTGGGGTGGAAAGGGGTGACTTGGAGAAGATAGAGGGTGGAACAAAAAAATACTAGAGGAGAACAAATATTCGCAGGTTGGAAAAATAACTAACCGAAGATTTACAATGATCGTTTCTATTCGTATACATGTGTACACGCACACACACACATATATGTACGGTTACACAGATACGTGTGTACGAACTTATTCGTTCCCTTTAAATAGCAATTGGCGAGATTTAAAGTCAATGATACTTAAATTTTGCCGAACGTTCTTCAAGCTTGAACTTTTCTATCTTTTCTTATCGATCGAAGGAAAAGACACAGTGAAATTTATAGTTCGTTGCTCCCAACGATTACTCAGATATTCTTTAATAGATTGCCTTTTACATAATGAGTGTCTTATTCGTGTCTGACTTATAGAACTGACTGATGTAAGTTACTACTTATTTGCCGGTTTCGTCGTACCACAACTTACATGGGAATACATATGTATAGATTGAATGTTTCGAGTAAATGCAAGCGGCTTTTTTTCTTTTTCTTTTTTTTTTTTCATATTTATTATGTATTTCTATTCTTTTTTTCTTTTTTCTTTTTCTTTTCTCTTTTATTTTTACGTCTTTTCATTCAAGAAATTTATCTCTTTTATATTTATATATATATATATATATATATATATATATATATGTATGTGTGTATATACATATATATACATATGCGTTTGTGTGTGTATGTGTGTATGTGTGCGTGTATAGATAAATTTCTTTTTTTTTCTCCTGTCAATTGAAAGATTTATATTAACTAAATAAACCAAAGTATCGGTCGCTTCGTTTCGTTTTGGACGTGTTCAGGAAATGAAGGCGGTTTGGCTGATAGAGAAAAAGAAAAAAAAGGTAAAAAGAAAAAAGAAAAAAGAAAGAGAGAGAGATAGAGAGAGAGAGAGAGAGAGAAAGAAAGAAACGCCAATAGTGATATTTGAAAAATAGAAATGGAACGGTAGCAGAAGTAATTAATAGAGTATTACGAGTGTACACACACAGACATAGATAGATAGATGTGTGTGTGTGTGTGTACGTATGTATATATATATATATATATATATACCTGGTCGATGTCCTTTCTTTCGGCGAATAAGCGTATGGTGTCGATAAAATATCGTTTATGGAACGTCGGTCATGCTTTTAGAAAATGAAAGGTCTAAGAGAAAGATAATAAATGATGAGAATGGATATATAATTTGATTTGTATCTCGAAGAAATAGAAAATATAAAAAAAAAGGGAAAAAGAATTATTGAGATGGTACTGGAGAAAAAAGAATTAAAAAAATTATTTTCTTATCTTTTACGTTTCTTCTTTCTTTTCTTTTTTATTTTTTTTTTTTTTATTTATTTATTTTTTTTTTTTTTTGAAAAGGCCAATGAGCCTTGGCTGAAGGTAGGAAAATATAGGATAATAACATAATCGTACGTAAGCAAATAAGCAAATATATTATATTACTCTTCGTTCTCAGATATATCTTCAAGATTAACTAATAAATAAGCTATGAAATTGATCTAATTAAGCCAGAGATTGTTCTTTATTTTTTTTTTTTTTCTTTTTTAGCTTCTCTTTTCACTGCTTATCAATTTTTCGTCGGCTAATTGCTTATCTTACGTCTGCCTTATTTTTCTTTTTTCTTTTTCTTTTTCTTTTTCGAATTTTCTTCAATTTCGCAAAGAATTAAAAAGTGATCCCAATAATGTCTTTTCAGGATGTTGGGAAGCGTCGGAGGCCGGCACGTGTCTACGCGTCGGCGTGGCAGTAGCCCGCAGGTGCGTGGAGGTGCGGGCCTCACTTTTCATGGAGCTGCTGGGCCTAATAATTCAAACGATGCCACCGGAGGAATGCCGCCGGACGCTCCGATTTATGCTGCTAGAAGAAGGAGGGCCGTTACCACCAGTGATTACAAGAGTTGTGCCCTCGTACAGACCCGGCTCAAATTTGGCGATATTACGTAAGTCTTTCTATGATCACTCCACCATTAGAATTTTTTTTTTTTTTTTTTTGCTATTCGGCGAACTTATTTAGTCGTTTGATCGTCGTCAAACATCAAATAGTATATAAAGAGTATCGTGATAGGAAGAAAGGTACAGATTATTAAAAATGTCTTCTAAATAATTAAAATTATTTCATTTATAATCAATAATTGATTTACAGATGTAACTCATAATATTTTTCTAAGATCTTTCTTTTTTTTTTTTTTTTTTGTTTTGTTTTTACGAGTATTTTTGTCCACAACAAACTATGCGCTTTTTTTTTTTATCATTTGTAATGAAATTACAATCCTCGAAGAAATTCTAAGAGGAAATCTGTTTTATCCTTCGTCGTATAGGTAGATCGTCGAATTAGATAGTTGGTCGATAATGTCGATAAGTTCGTCAAAGGATAACTGATTCATCTGTCGGTAAATGATTGAAATTATCTTCGTGATTCACACATGTCGGTAAAAAGTAAACACTGTTCTCTCGCGTAAGATAATATTATAGATGCTATAATCGATCACATCTCTTATCCGAAAACTATAATACCGACGGTTTCTCAATGGACGGTAAAAATTGATAATAGAATAAATGCTAGGTTACTCGATGGGTAATGAGGTCATGTATTACTGTGACGGAATTAAAGTCTAATATGTAGCGAGGTGCCTGCACTCCCCGTACGGACACACTCCGTGGCTCTCTTTATACTATCGATTAGTCTTTGATTGTTTGGCCATTAGCTTCTATTTTTAGCGCGCGCTGTCGTTGTCCGTTCCAAACAAACCTAATTAGAATTTTTTCTTCGTTCCTTCCTTCCTTCCTCCTCGTTTCCTTATCCTTCCTTCTATCGTTCTATCGTCGTATCCGTCGTACATAAACTTCTCCTATCAACGAGCGCGAAGTCGTATCGGAATCGTTGCTTTTTGATTTTTCCACATTTCAGCCTCCGGCTAGAATCTGTCGTCGCTTGCATTTCTCATTTATCGTTTTCAGAAAAGAATTCTCCTTTTGGTTTCTCGGGACAAGCCGAACAATTCGTTAGATATATTTTCAATAACAATTCAACACCCTGAATTTGGTCCACGTTCTCTTTGCCAATGAAAATTTTTCAAACTTTCGTCTCTTTTCTCACTTTATTTTTTTCTCTTTCTCTCTCTCTCTCTGTCTGTCTGCATTTATCTATCTATCTTCTCGTTCTTTCCAAATGGATGAAAAACAATCATAGTTGTATTTATATCTAAATTAAAAAGAACTCTAACAAACACTTGGATAATTTCATATCATAATAAACATATTACCAACATAATATAAAAAAAACTTATAGAATCGATCGTAATTGTATATATATAAAAAAAAAAAAAAAAAAAAAAAAAAAAAAGAAAGAAAAAAGACAGATTTATGAATACCTTCGAACGAAATGAAATATTAATTGAACAAAAGACAGTTTGTTTTCATAAGTGATAATAATTTTCGATATTTTCGAGTTATGGTGTTAATCTTTTAACGCGTTTTTTTTTATTAAGTGACGGAAGGATAGACAGACAGACAGACAGACAGACAGATAACAGTTATTCCTGGAATTCTTCGTGGCGTTATCTAAAGTTAGAAATCGATAAAGGGAATCAACATTACGTGTAACTAGAGGTTCGTATAGTTCTGAAGAAGCAACTATTTTAGTCAAGGTTCTCGACCTTTGTCGACGACGAGAACGACGACAATGACAACAACGACAACGACAACGACAACGACAACGACAACGACAACGACAACGACAATGACAACGATAACTGGTAGTATTCCATTATGCTTTTTCGATCGTCTATTTCTCCTTGTATGTCTACTTTCGTAGAGTCTTCGTAGTGTATTCGAGGAACGAATGATATCTCGATCGGTACGTTGGCATAGCCAACGAATGAATCGATGTCTGACCGTGCGCGTTGTTTTACTACTGCGATGCCGACGTGTCATCCTTTACCCATATACATACATATGTGTGTGTTTGTGTGTGTATGTATGTGTGGGTAGATATATAGGAACTACATACATTCATATATATTCACTATCGCGGCACTAATTGTAAGTGCCCGCAAATATTTCTCGAGATACTACTACTACTACCTTTCCCCACTCCCTTCATCCCCACCCCACCTCCCACCCCTTCCTCATTCGTCAGATCGAATATTCTGAAAATCACCTCCGGTGAATACCATCGGCGAAGGAAATAGGACGTAAAATCATACGTACATACATACGTACATACATACATAATATATACGTATATACGTAGATACGTACATGGGCATACATAAAATCGTGAAAATGATCGAATTCACATTTTGAATGGGCAACGAGTTTAGATCATTGAAAATCATTTCTCAATCTATCAACCGAGAACGAGATATCCGTGTATTTGTACCTACGTTGTCTTATACGTTTAGAGACAATGCTACCTCACCACCATGGCGGAGTACTGCTATCATCATCCTGCGACTGATAGACATATATATGTATGTATTTATATATGTACATACGTATGTATGTATGTATGTATGTACGTATGTATGTATGTACGTATGTATGTATTCAGGTACGGCCATTAAATTAACCGGTATTCGTATATCATTGCGCTAGAGGGTAGCGTAAGTAATGGAATCAAATCGATGCATTTTTAAAACGATGAAGATGTCTTTTAACAAATATAAAAAAAAAAAAAAAAAAAAAAAAAAACAAGAAAAAGAAAGAAAAGAGAGAAAGAGAAGAAAAGAAAGAGAAAGAGAGAGAGAGAGCGCGCGAGAGAGAGAGAGAGAAATTGTTGTCCCTTTTTTCGTCCACACGTCGAAGATTTGGGCAGATTGAAAGTGACCCTAAAGAATAAAAAAGGAAGACAACGACAGAGAGAGAGAGAGAGAGAGAGAGAGAGAGAGAGAGAGAGAGAGAGAGAGAGGAGAAAGAGACAATTTTCTTCAGAACCGAATTTGAAACGAAGTGTCCAAGCTCTCTTTCTCCCTCTCTCTTTTACTTTATCCTAGAGGCATCCTCTCTCTCTCTCTCTCTCTCTCTTTCTCTCTCTTTCTCTCTCTCTTATTCTCATTCTCATTCTCTCTCATTCTCTTGGTCTCACTGTGGTGAATCGAGCCAGAGAGTCAGCGTCGTGGAGTCGAGTCGACTCGGTTGTGTGTTTCAGGCTGGCTGCCGGCTGCCGCCGTGAATCAATACCCGCATTGCGCGTGCCACCTCTCCTTCTCTCTCTCCCTCGTTCTCTCTCTCTCTCTCTCTCTCTCTCTCTCTCTCTCTCTCTCTCTCTCTCTCTCTTCATTGCTTTCTGCGCCCTCCTCCACGTGCTCTCCTTCGCCCTCTCTCACTTTGCCTGCCTCGCTTTCGTGCACCCGTCATACGTCTTTCTCACTCTATCCCCTTTTTCCTTTTCCATCTTTTTCCATTCTTTCTAATTCCTCCATACTATCTCTTTCTTTCTTTTTTTCTTTCTTTCTTTCATTCTTTATATTTTTCTTTTTATCTATTTTTTTCTAATACTCTCTTAGATCCCTTTTTCCTTCGTCTATTTCTTCATCTTCATCTTCATTTTTCCTTTCCTATTCTTTTCCCTTTTCCCTCTTTCATCGTTTATTTCTCTTATTTGCCTAAATTATTCATCGATCGAAAGACAGAAAGAAAAGCAGAAGGAATAAGATTGAATGATAGTAAGAATAAGAGGAATAAGGATGAGTAAGATGAGAGGGAGAAAGGGAGAGGTTAAGATCAAAGAGAAAGTGACGGGAAGAGTATGACGCCTAAGGACAACATACTGGCGCCAGTTTTAAGTGATAGGAGACGTATTAACTCGGACAACTCTGAAAAGCTATTAGAGATAGACACTGCGGATAATCATTCTCAATACATTATGTTCCTTTCTTTTTATCTTCTTCCGTTCTCTTTCTATTTCCTCTTTAAGTTTCATTTTGTTTTTCTCTCCTTTTTCTTTTCTTTTCTTTTCTTTTCTTTTCTTTCTTTCTTTCTTTCTTTCTCTTTTTCCTTCCTTTCTTTGCTTTTCTTTCTTTAATTTTCCGTAATCTTGAATCGAACGTTCAAAAAAGAATAAAATTGTATCATAATAAATATAATGAAAACAAAGTTGAAAGAAATATATAGACAAAATTTATCTGATAGAGCTCTGTTAGGTGTGTAGTATTATTGGGGGAGTTAAATCTATAGGGGAGTCTCAAATTAATGTTGAATAAACATCGTGTGACAGGGGGTGAGACCGCAGAAAGGCCACGTACGTGGAAGCCAACCCACGCTCTCTCTCTCTCTCTCTCTTTCTCTCTCTCTCTTTTTCGTGCATCATCGAACGAACCTTTCCACGAATTTAATAAATTCATTATTATTTCTCGCATATTATTCCTGATACGAACGATTGAATGGATTCGGGATATTTCGAAAATTACTATACATTTTTCATTGGTCGATAAATCGTGGTTTCTCGCTTTTTAATATTTATACATATATATTTATAAATTTGCATTAGGTTATATATATATATATAATATATATAAATAATATGTATATTATATCAATAATATATATATTGTATTTTTTGGATCGTAAGGAAGTTATTATGAGAGGTTGACCTTTGAGTAAAAGTCTCCCGAAAAGATCATGCTCCGAAATAGTTCACGATACAGGACACGTGGAGAGGAAGGCTTTTCTTCCTTTTGGAGTTCCTTGTTCGCTCGTTTCTTAACGAGATATATATATATATATATATATATATATGATGTATATATATTATATATATATATATAAGTATATGTGTCTATACGTGTGTGTGTGTGTGTGTATATATGTATATATATATTATTTTGTACTTTCGAGGATTACTTAGTGAGTAACATATGTTGTCTTGAGTGCATGCTCAAGGAAAAGTCATTGAAAGGCATTTCTCTTGAAAAAGATAAAAGAGAAAAAAAGAGAACGT